ATTCCACCAATTCGTCTGGATTGCCTTCTTCTATGAACAGATGATAGTCTTCGTCCTCGAGGTATTGCCCTTCATATTCATCTTTATACACTAAAACTATGTTGCGGGGAAGTACTTCATCGTCTTCTTGAGATGTTTTGGAGCTGATGGCGTACACTGTTTGCTCAAGAAAAGGAGTCCTGACTATTCCAGCAGGTGCATCTAATGAGCACTGACCTGTTAGAATCGAAGTAGGCTGATGCAAATCTGACTGATCATTTGCCGTGGGTGGAGGATGCACGACCGCAGGGAAGGGACAGTTTGCCGCAGGTAGAAGATTCACGACCGCGGGCGGAGGGTTGTTGGCTGCGATCGCGGGATGTGCGATCGTGGGTGAGAGACTCCGAGATGGTTCAGTTGTTTCCTCCTCTCATTTGCCTTCTAAATGGATTTTAGGATCTTCCAACTCTGTTTTCTCTTCTTTTAGGTCAAGATCTTTGATGGGAAACGTTGAACCATGTGTTTCACATCCTTGCATAAGCTTTTCGACCTTCTCTTCGACTTCATCAATACTATAGACTACTTTGTCCACGGTTGAGTCGATCTCTTCTGCTTTGTCTTGAACCTTGTGTACTCCATCCCAAATCTCTTCCACGTAGGAGTAGGTCTGGTTGTTATGATCATTAATAGTTTTTTTCTGCTTCATCGAGTTTGATCTCTAAGGTGCGGATGTTTCCACTAGCCTTGCAAATGCTGACTTCGTTCTCTGACTCGTCCTTCAACTGCTTCTATCCTCTCTTTGATAGTCTCAGTGTCTTTTTTTGCTTGAGTCTCGATGGATTTAACCTGAGCAGAAAGATCTTCAAGCTTTTTGTTAAAGTGAGTAGACATGTTGTCAATTCTCTCATGAAAGGCGGCTCTTGACACGGCTTGAACTGCAATAAACTGCATGATTACTGCTTCAAGCTGACTCAATCGATTACTGAGCTGGGTGTTCTCATTTTGTTGGAGAATCTGGTGAGGCGGACGATGCATAGGTGATCTATGGTTTATCATTGGAGGCATGTAGGGCTCGTTCATGAATGTTTGGTAGTTTGAGGTTCAAAATTTGTCGTACAGATCGCGTATGTATTGCTCTTCTCTGCGTCTGGTGGCTTGAGGAGTGTTGTAAAAACCTCCATCGTAGTAGGGATTTCAATTTATAGGGTCCATTGCTTCGGGAATGGAAACAAAAGAACCAAAAAATGGAAATATGCAGAAAAAGTGTTCTAGTGTCGATTTACCAACTTTCTTAGGGTTTTGCGGAAAAGAAAACACGTGCCTTCCCCGAAAACGGCGCCATAAACTTGATGTGTGCTATCGTAAGGGTTGTCAAGTTTTACCCTAAATGAAATCAATAGCCGCAAGTGCACAGCTGATCGATTGTAGTACTTAGGGATTGAATCCACATGGAAGGAGGATCTTTCCTGCAAAAGCCTTCAAAAGAAATATAAAGCAAAGAAGTCTAGAACCAGGCGATTTTTGTAAGGGTTTTGGTGGTGTCTTTAAAACGTAAAAACTAATCTTAACGAGAAAATACGAGAATTAAAATGACCTAATAACTAAATTTAATGAAATCGACTAAAAACAAGAAAAATGGCTAAACCTAATTGCTTAAATAAAAATCGATTAAGAGAATCAAAATGATGAACTAAAGCTTGAAATAAAATTGATGTTATTCTATAGAAAAGAAAACGCTGGGTTTCAGGAAAGTTTTCTCTGGGGTATGAACGATTCAAAACATTGCTAAAGAGTAAATTTGATAAGATATTAGCTTAAACTGTTCGAACTAGAGTCACAGACGTATGAATATGCCACTGTCGTGATCATAGACAACTATCTCTCTCAACCCTGACCAGTAGGTTTCCACTCTGGCCTTGTAAGAGAAAATATGCATTATGTTTAAGACTCGTCAGAATTCACAAATCGCCCATAAGTAGGTTTCCACTCCTATGTTTGTTTTGCTGTCCCAAACTAGATCTGACACCGGATGAACACTTTCGTCTCACCAAGCATCTGGATCAGATTGTAGTTCATGACACTACTCTAATACAGTAAAAGTAAATTCAGAAGAAAAAGTTCTAAGATTCGGCTTCCATAGCTCATGGAATCCTCATCGAACATATATATCCCCATCGAAGATCCCTTAGACCCAACAATAAAACTACTCAGACATGATGAACGAAATCAAAAACATAGTATTAAAAAGTAGAGCAATAATCGAGATTGAAAAAGAAAGAACAAGGGTTCAAGAGATAGATCTCTCTCTCTTCCTAAACCTAAAAACAAAAGCATAAAGTAAAATTTTCTTCTAAAGTATTTTGTCTCTCTTAAAAACGGCCTAAATGATAGGCATTTATAGTCTCCAATGCTCTCTGGTGTCTAGGGTTCCGGAATTGAGGCTGGGAAAATGATTTGGGCTTCAGAAATGGGCCTTCTAAATCGTAGTTGGCTGGCCGCGGTCGGGAAGTGCGTGGCCGCGGGGAATGGATGCTTGGCCGCGGGTGGAAATGCTTGTCGGCTGGTTTACGGGACATCTTGCTCTTCGCGTATTTTTTGATTGAACCGTTGGATTGCCAAGCTGTAAAGTGTGCTGGAAAGCTGATAGTTCATCTTTGAGATCTCCATATTTGAGCTGGATCAGACGGTGAGAAGGGCTTCAATCGGGGGTGAACTTCTGACGGTTTGACTCTGAGTTGAAAATATGGTCTTCTATCCATTTTGTTAAGCTTTTCCCTAAGTTTCCTGAAAAGAGTCTTGGAACTACAAATACTAGAAAAACGAAATAAAAGTACTTGAAAGCAATAAAAAACATAGAAAATGTATTTCAAAACGATCCAAAAAAGTGGTAAAATACGTTGTTATCAGTTATTTACTAAATATTACAACTTTTGAGTTTAATGTTATTTCGCTAACCATTGCAACTCTTGAGTTTATAGTTATTAAATCATTGCAACTGTTGAAATCACTGTTATTCGAAACCATTGCAACTATTCCTTTGTACCCCTTGGAATTCTATAAAAAAATTGAGAAATATTTGGAGAGAAAAATATATAATAGCAAGTAATGACAAACAACAACTAGAAAAAAAACAACTTAATAACCAACACAGAAAACTTTAATTGTATTTCTTGTATTTTAGCCTAGAACAAGAAGAAAATTTTGATTTTCTTATTTTACAAGGGATATCGTGTAATCCAAAGCTTCATAAGGGTCAAAATATTCTCTAAAGAAAGTGCTTCGTACATGTTTTATTTATAATCTAAGTTCACAATTTTTTTAGATCTCGGTGCAACCACAACATTTTCTATTTCCATTTGTTCTTTCATAAACTAAATATATTTCACACAAATTCTAAGTCTCCAAAATATACTATTAATATCAATATGTCAAATGCTATATGATATTATAAATTCAAGACAATTTTTGGTTTCTAAAAGATAATATTGACTTAAAATGTATCAAAACTATTTATAAGTATTGATTGTTTGAAATCCAAGTATTTTCCAAAATATTTTTCAGATCATGACAAATTTAAATTTTTTTACATAATTTTGCATGAGAATTCTATTCTCTTTGTTTGGAGATTTTAACGTTTCATATCATGATAATGATTTAAAAAGTTCTCATTGTAAAAATATATTTATTAATGATTGAGTTCTGTCGATAAAATTGATCATGTTGGTTATAAATTGTTGTTTAACTTCTTCTTAATGTTAATTATATAGTTATCTTTAATATGAATGTATATGTTGAGTTATACATTGTTACATTAATTGTAAACTACAAACTCAAATAGACATGTGTGTTAATTGCTTTTTATGGTTTCATTCATCTTTGTATCTTGATATTTTTAAAAGTCATATCTATTTATTTTTTACCCTAGTAATTATTTTCTCAAAAAATCATATATTTAAATCACAGTATCATCACTTTTTTTTTATATGTATGTTCACTTATATATATTTAAAATAATTAAAAGTTTAAAATACTTGATTTTTAGAAATGTTAGCAACTACCTACTAAATGTAGGAAATACAATCGAATTATAATCAATATTGCTTCTATTTTAAAATAAAAAATTATATATGTGGTATTTAGATAATTAATAAAATGAAAATAATACAAAAAAAACAAACCCATATATAAAACCTTAATAACAAAACTCATGTGTAGTTTAGCGGAATTTTTGAATTGATCCAAGGTTCATAAATGTTCTTACACCAAAAGATCTAGGTTTCGAGTTCTAGAAAATGCAATTTTATTATTAAACTAGTTAACTTACCTCCGGCTTGCGCGGACTGATATAATTTTTTTTTTTTTAAAAAAATATAGTAGTAGTCTTATTTGGTTTATTTTTTTATTGAGTATATATTATATTGTTTGTAGATGATTATTATAACATACTAAAAAAATTAGAAAAATGTATGTTTGTATGAAAATAATTTTGTTTTAATTGTTTTAATATATTTTAGTCATTGTTCTACGTTTTTAGACATATATTGTTTCTTTTACTATTTTTTTGTTTGCATTTAAAGTTTTTTAGTATTTATTATATTTGACGTTTTATGTATTGTTTATTTTGTTTTAATAGGATAATAATAGGGAATATATTTGTTAATTATACTTTTATATGTTTTTTTTTTTATTTATTGTATCTTTCTTGTTGTGCATTGTTTTTTTTAAAAAATTCTTGTTAGCTATTTTTTTATCAAATGAAAGATAATATATAGTGTAGCACTCCTAAATAATTATGAAGTTAAGCACATTAAACAAATGATTAAATTAAAACAGAGTAATTTTGAAGAAAATATAGTCTATATGTTGGCAAAAACCTCCTTGTAGACGATATTCTTTATTGTTTTTCTGCGGTGCTCCTTTGTTGTCAGTAATCAATATTTTTAAGCCCTTTCTCGTTGTGACTCTTGAAAGTGCAACGTAAAGTTGACCATGTGAGAAAACAGGTTTTGGCAAATACAATCCTACCTTCTCCAAAGACCTTGACTTTTGTTGATCGTCATTGCAAAAGCAAGCGATACTGGAAATTGTCTTTTGCGCATCTTGAAAGGGAATCTTGCATCGGCTGGAGTAACAAACATTCTTGGGATTAAAACCTTTTCATCTTCATCACTGTTTGATTTTCCTGTTATCACTCTTGCCTCGATAACATGATTTGCTAACTGAGTAACAATAAGCCGGATCCCATTGCAGAATCCTCCTTTTGGGTCAATGTTTCTAAGCAAGATAATAGGAGCTCCGATCTTCAAAACCAGTTTATGATTAGGCAAGCCTGAAATTTTGATGCTGTTCAGGAACTCTTGTGTGTAAACAATATCTTTTGGAAAATCTGTGTCCACAGTATCTATATCATCTTCTGGAATCACCACTCTTTCCGATGGGTCAATACTATCAGCGCTCAAATAAACTCTTTCCTCACCTATAGAATTATACAACATATATTGTATTGTTAAAGAAATAATATTTTTAAATTGTGTAAGCATATACTCAGTAATTCTCTCGACATCCGTATTTGTTGGGACCAAAATAGCTCGTTTTTGAAAAACTTGGGGTCATCTCTATTAGCAAAGGATCCTCCATATATTTCCCTTACTATAGTTTTTATTGGATCATCACAGTCTTTAATTAATAAGTCTTCTGGAATCTCTATCTCAGTTTCTCCATCATTAGGCTCATTTATTTTTCCTTCTCAGATTTCCAGAATCCATTTTGAAAAAGAGTTTATATCATTTGCATCACTCTCACTTAGACCGGTGTGTAGTCGCATGTTTTTGGTTAGCCGTAGAACCTTACATTTTTTCCAAGTCTTTGATGCATTCAAAGCAGTCATTACTGTTATATTTCTGCAGGCATCTGGTATTACCGGTAGAACCTGACAAAAATCTCCCCCAAAAACAATGACTTTGCCTCCAAAAGGTTCTTCAGATATCATTATGTCTTGCATTCTTCTGTCGAGTGTCTCGAAACAGTGTTTACTCATCACTGGAGCTTCATCCCAAACTATTAGCTTTGTTTCATTGATCAAGTCTGCTAAATGTGTACCAGATTTCATCAAACATGTTGTGCTGTCATTGACATTTATGGGAATTCCAAACCTAAAATGGGCTGTCCTACCCCCTTTTAATATCAATGAAGCAATTCCGCTTGATGCTACATTTAGGACTACTTCACCTTTAGATCTCAAAGTAGCGCCTAGAACACTCCAAAGAAACGTCTTGCTTGTGCCTCCAAAGCTATAGACAAAGAAAACGCCGCCTCTATTGCTTTGAACAGCATTTAGAATTTCATTATAAACACCCAACTGCTCTTCTGTGATCATTGTCATGTATTTAATATGATCTGTGTGTAATTGTTCATGATCGTAATTCTTTTCGTCGCTGAGCAGTTGATTGTTGAATTTATTAATTTTGATGTCGTCTGGCTTTGGCATATCGTCAAAATTGGCAAGAGTATTTCCATGAGTTCGCATTAACTTTTCAATCTCCGAAAGAGTAAAATTATTTATTTGTTCCTCTGTTAGCACCAAATATCCGAAAAATGTATAATTAATTGTATAAGTTCAATTTACAGAATTTAGAGTCATTAATAATACAATAAATTTTTAAGATATTTAATTGTGAACATATTAAGAGAAGTTTATATAGGTAAATATATACCTTCTTTCTTCCGTATCTTCTTTTGTTGGTACAATATATCTTCAAAGAGTATTTCCTATGAAGCGTTCCAAACTCCAAGTACTGAACCTACACTATTTGAGAGAATCATGATAACAAACAATTTGCGTGTATATTTAGCAGAACACCAGAAACTGGCCTCCTTTATTGCTTCAATATATTCGTTGGCATATAGTTGGTTTATAATCATTAGTTGTTCTAATATTAGTTATAGTTGTCAACAGAAATCTAAATAAGAGATATTTTACCCATATGCTGCAATTCTATTCTTGTCTTCATTTTCTGTGTCATGAATATATAGTTGCATAAAGGATGGGGTTTCACCAGGAGGTGGCAATATATCACCGATAAGATGGTAATTTTCGCTGCAGAACTTAAACAAGTAAAGCCCTCGGTCGTTGTTTACTGCGGGACCAATTTTGCCACCAAGAGAAGTGAATGAGAACATCATATTGTATGCTTTTATAAAATCTCGATAATTCTTGCTCCTATCATCTTTATTATATAATAAAGCCTTGAGAGTGTCTGGAGGATCTCGAAGTAAAAGAATATCGACTTTTCCTAGATGACAACACAATGTGACAATAGGTTGCACTTTCTTGAATCTCTTATTTAGTCTCTCTCCAAACCACATATATGCCTGACAATGGTCGCACATGTTAGTCATATCACCTTCATCTTCATATCCTGAATCATTGAAACGTAAACTTTGTTATTAAAATGATTGTAGAGAATAATTTATATATAATTCATTTTTTTTAACCGAATGAGAAGATGGCCCATGGCGAGTGTCTTTGTCGTTATCTTTTGTAGTTTTTGCAGATTTTGTATTTTGAAATTTTGTTTTTCTTTTCTTTTGCTGAGATTCTACTTGTACATCTTTGCTACTTTCGTTGTCACTTTCCGAAGAATCATCAGATTCATCGTCATTATCTTCTTTTTCAGAATCTGTAGCGATAAAGCAAGCGAATTCTTCTGTATTTATTTGATCTGTCAAGAAAGTGATCATCAAAATTGAGTAATTAAATAAACGTCAATCGATCTATAATATAAAGCGATGCTTAGTGAATACCTTGTTTTGATTTATCTCCAGCTTCCTTTTTCTTTCTCATGATTTCGATTCGCTGCTTTCTATTCAATGCATAATATGGCTGAACAGGATTGACATATCCTAAACTTTGAGGATATACTTTTGCAGTAGTAGACGGAGTTCCAGAACGCAATGTCACTGTTGAGTTTGTTCCTAAAATAATTAATAATCAGTAGAGTAACAAATATCTTATTTTTTTTCTAAAGAATGAAACTACTTTTAAACTTATGTTTCGTAGTTGGATTTGCTGGATTTGTTTTTGTTTTTTTGTGTTTTTTTTCTTTTCTCTCCGTCGTTTCTTCTGTAGACTTTGCTGTTGATGTTTGTGAAGATTCTATTTTTCTTTTCGTTTGCTGTGACTGAACTTTTAAATCTTCTCTACATCTGGTTTCATTATCAGATAAATCTTCGGAGCCATCATCACTATCTTCTTTTTCTGAATCTGTTGCGACAAAGCAATCAAATTTCTCTGGATTTTTTTCATCTGCAAAGAAAGTGTTAAACAAATTTGTGTTAAAAAACAAACACAATTGATTTATGTCGTAAAGCGATACTTTGTAAATAAATTGTGTATGATTTTTCTGAAGTTCCCTTTTTTTCCTCATGATTTCCATACGACGCTTTATAGCCAGTCTATAATCTGGATGAAAAGGTTTGATCCATCCTAGAATTTGAGGATGATGTTCTTCAGTAGCAGCTGGAGTTGCAAAACATCGTAATAGTGTGGAGTTTGTTTCTAAAAAAAAAATTAACAGCACTGAAATTATTATATTTTTTGTAATACCTAATCAATAATTGTAAGATGCTCGGAAAGCATAAAATAATCAATCGTTCAACATTGTTTTACTGAGTTCTTTTTGTTAATGATTGATCTGACGCTAAACATTATTTCAAAGATATTAGAAATGGTAAATTTTTTTTTAATTTGTTTTTATAAAAACGTTTTTGAAGATATTAGAAATGGAAATTTTTTGAAGATATTAGAAATGGTAAATTTCTTTTTTTTAAAAATTTATTTTTATAAAAACGTTTTTGAAGATATTAGAAACAGAAATTTTTTTCTTTTTAATTTCTTTTTAGAAAAACGTTTTTGAAGATATTAGGAATGAATTATTTCGAAAATATTAGAAATGGTAAAAAAAATTTTTAATTTATTTTTATAAAAACGTTTTGAAGATATTAGAGATAGAAATTTTTTTTCTTTTAAATTTATTTTTATAAAAACGATTTTGAAAATATTAGAAATGAAAATATTTTTTTTAATCTTAACGTTGAAGACATTAGAAATGGTAAATTTCTTTTTTTTTTAATTAAATTTTTTTCTTTCAAACTTTCTGTTTAATCTTATTTTAAAAACGGTTTGATTTGACATTTAAATTAAGCATTAAACCACAATAATTTAGGTCGGTTTGTTTTAAGTTTTGTTTTACACGTCATCACATGAGAATCAATCAAAAGTGACACGTAATTGGAAAATAAGGCTAAACGGTCTTTTAACGGCCGAAACTCATTCTAGAGCTGACACGTAAGCGAAAAACTGTGAAACTCGCTGTAAGCGTGACACGTAAGCAAATCACTACACAAATAAAAACGTTTTTGAAGATATTAGAAATATAAATTTTTTTCTTTTTAATTTATTTTTATAAAAACGTTTTGGAAGATATTAGAAATGACATTATTTCGAAAATATTAGAAATGGTAAATTTTTTTTTTGTAATTTATTTTTATAAAAACGTTTTTGAAGATATTAGAAATGGAAATTTTTTTTTCTTTTTAATTTATTTTTATAAAAACGTTTTGAAGATATTAGAAATGGAAATTTTTTTTTTTAATCTTAACGTAGACATTAGAAATGGTAAATTCCTTTTTTTAATTAATTTTTTTTTCCAAAATTCTGGTTTAATCGTATTTTAAAAACGGTTTGATTTACAGCGAAATTAAGCATTAAACCATAATAATTTTGTTTTAAGTTTTTTTACACGTCATCACATGATAACCAATCAAAAAATGACACGTAATTGGAAAATAGGGCTAAACGGTCTTTTAACGGCCGAAATTCATTATGGAGCTGACACGTAAGCGAAAAACGGTGAAACTCGCTGTGAGCGCGACACGTAAGCAAATCACTACACAAATAAGTATATAGATACAGATTAATGGAAACAAGTTTATAGAACATTTTCAATATGGTGTAGAGAGATCCGTTTAGCGTGTATGCAGACGGAAGAATTTTCGATTGTAGAATCGTTGCTGTAATAGTTCTTATAATTTATAATAAAATAATAGATAAAAAAAAAACGCATACATAGCGTAGACTATTTACAAAGGAATTATTTGAATGTTTTAGCCCTTTAATTTTTAATTTTGTATTTCTGTTTAAATTTAATATTAAATAAGCATATTTTTATTTGTTAGAATAAATGAGATGAACAAAAGGCCCAATAATTTTCCATAAATCTATATGTAACTGATTTTGTTCTTCCTCATTCATTTCAAATAAAATGGCATTTTATGTAATATAAGACATGACACAAATGAAATATATTAGGTATGCTTCAACACATATTGTTCTTTATAAAATCATGTTGCTTATGAACTTGACTCCTGTTACTACTAATTGTAATAGATAAATTAATCAGACTGATGATTTAGTCAATCAAATCACAAACTACACAAGTGAACCTAACTCTCAAATGATTCAAAATATGGAAAACACACATTTCCGAATCTCAAATCATTTGTGTTATCTGTTAAACAAAAATTGATTATACATCTGTAAGAAAAAAAGAAAAAAAAAACTATATCCGCCCACATGGGCGAGACATAATCGAGTATAATGAGAAAAAATGGAGTATCCTCATGGCATGTGTTATATTAACCATATGTCAATTTAGAGTTAAAAAAAAAATTAAAAAATTGATACGTCAAAATGAATCAAATAAAGTGAATTTTTAATGTGTAAACCAAAACAATTTTTTAGAACTTGAATTAAAGAATCAAAACATGTACTTGGAATTCTATTATTTTAGCAATCTATAGTATAGAATACAATTGCATTCTATATAAAAAGATTGTTGCTTTATCATCACAATCATATGTATGTTTTTAGTGATTTACGTCTATTAAGGCTTTTGTAAATATAAACCATGGCATATGCGCTGTTTACAATATCTCAAATTTTGAAGTTAAAACAAAGATATATTTCACAGAAATTAGATAACGAATCAAAATATGTGTCATTTTACTCAATATTGCACTATGTTAAATAGATTTGGCGAGTGACTGTGAAAATTATGAATAATAGTGCTAATGATTGATTTATAATAGCTTATTTTAGGTCGTCAAGTCAATAACATTTTATCCTCTTGTTTCAATAATTTGTGGAGCCTTCATCCTGCTGAAAACCACACAAAAATAAATCCTTTTAAATAATTAAATAAAAATATACATATGTACATAATACACATAACTGAATGTTGAAAAATATGATTAATAAAAATATTTACTTAAATGATGAATATTGGTAGAAAGAGAAGGAGGGCGACAATTATAAGAGATGCA